GGAGGGTAGTCAATTCGTTCGAAATATTGTTGTCAGTTCATTGCGTCTGCTATATAGTTTCAGCCGTATTCAGTTTGGTCTACGGACTTTGCCAACAATCGCACTATAGTCACGTGATGCCACTTTCGTGTAAACACTATGGTTTCCCAAGGGATTATGTTTATTTAAGTGCTGTTCCACCTTTTTGCTATTCACATTCTCCCAACTTGGTCAGTAATCGTGAAAAGGCAAGTGCGTTTATCTACTTCTTGTGCTAGCAACATCCTTCACGAGCCGAACTGCAACCAAAAACCTGGAGTTTCCCGGGATCAAAATGAGCCTCACTTGAGACTGAAAGTTATGCCAAACGTTTTAAGATATGTTAGAAAAATATTTCGAAAAACTGATAGCAGAACCTTCTTCAAGCTCCCAATTGCATATAACCAAATCTGAAGCACGTATTCTCTTCATAAAGCCCGCCAATCAGAAAAGCGGCTTCGTTTGGCTTCAAAATTTGCCGTCGATCACTTTGATGTACGAGGAACTGCAATACAACTTTTCTTCTGTAACGAATGTATTGGCTTCCCGACTTTAATTTTTCCTATAAAACTTCCCATTAGTTTTTTTGTTAGTAATTAATATCAGAATCGGTGTTCGAGCTATACTGGAACATGTGCATAAGCCTGTGGCAACTAAATTTATGCAGTTCGTGGAATTTATCGAAACAAATATTCGTAAAGCAAATTTACCTGGTTCTTGCTGACGTCAACGGTGACAAACTTAATTTTCGGGTACTTTTGAGCGAGCTTTTCTATAATCGGTGTAACCTCGTAGCTTGCTGCTAACCATGACGCAAAAAAGTTAACGATGACGTAAGTGTATTTTTCCAAAACAGCCGGAAGGTGCTAAAAAGAAAAAAAGATTTTAACGTTTAAGCTCATTTTAAGTCAGACTGATCAATCTGAAACTGCTAAGCTTTTCAGAATTCTGAAAAACAAATATCTGGTGGGGTGAAAGTTATCGTCTCTACGGAAAAACGCAGAACTCCCAGCATTTTTTGAAACAAACATGCCAAATATTTAGATAGCGCCTGAAGGTCTTAATGTCTGCATAGTTATAATGTCAAACAAGAGTGATACTCTGTTATGATTTGTTGACCCGGACCAACTGGGCCGCCTTAGAATGCTCGTTTAAATATTTATGTTAGGTTTCTACAAGTATTGGATAATGAAATAGTTTTCACTTAGCCTGTTCGCAGAAAAAAAACATTGAATGAGTAGCTTACATGTGGTTTAATTAACTTGACCGCACGCAAGTTCGCCATTTGTCTGTACAAAGTATAAAAACTTGCAGTTAGCATGCTATCGCGGAAGTTAAAAAGTACACAAGGACTTTGTTACTGTTGGTCAGCAATTAAGCAGTAAAAGATCTTGAAGTATATTTATTGACTTAGAGAAGATGAAACTTAACAACCGTCGATTTGAGAATATCACTAATTACTTAGCCAGAAATATTCGCAATTGCGATAGAAAAATATAAACCCATAAACTAATTAAGAAACCTTTTGCAAGTTGTGCAGCACACAAAAACATACTAGAGATATTAGAATAGCTTAAAGAGGTCACCAAAATATTTCTATAGAAATACAAGTCCTCTAAAACTAGAGCTATAGCTGCAGCAACAATAACAATTTTTGTGAGGTTTAAAGAAATTTCGACAGTCCATACGAACGAACTGACTGCGTAATAATTCCCCCGAAAAAACGGTAACGGGGGCAACGCGCACTGTACAAATTTGTCTAGCGATAGACAACTTTAGTTAATTAATTGACTGCGTGTTCATCAAAATCAATTTTGAATAAAATTGCCGGATAAGATATATTTAGTTCTGAACACACTTGGTTCAAGTTCAGGTAGAAAGAGTTGACCGCACTCGTTGCTTCATACGGTACACACAGATTTGCCTATTATATATATATGATGGTATTTAAAAAATTTCTCTTAAGCATGACCTACAAGAGATATGCAAAATGGGAATTTAAAACAAATCATCTTCCTTGACGGAATATAGTTATCTTATACAAACATACAAATATAATAAAATAATACCAACAGACCTTATGTGGAATATTTACTTACCAAATTTTTTCTACATTCTTCCAAAAACGTCTTCCAAATAAATCGCTGGATTTCTATATATGGACTCATACTGTCGACGAGGCTACATAAATAGGGCTAATAATTATCTGCAGAACGATCGTGGACGTTCTAACTTTAAGTTACTGGATGCTTCTATTTGTGCAGCCAAGTGGCAGCTACCGACTATGCATACATTTTACATTTCAAGATTTTGCGCATT